AGCTTTCTAAGCTTTGTTTAGATAATCATATAATTTCCATTATTTGTGTATGTAACAATGACATTATTGATATTTATTTAAGTAATATATCTAAATAGCATTTCCGTTTCTATTTTCTATTTTCATGATAATGATGAATCTATTCATATTTTCACGTTTCATTTTCACGTTATAATACCTCTCGACTAGTAAATATTTTCTAATAAGAATAAATAGGATTCATCTCCGCGCACCAAAAACAATTTCGTATAATGATTGATTAGGTGTGCCTTCCAAAGTTGTTGGAATATTCATAATCTATGCCTTAATTTTCTATGTAATGCTAAACTTAATTATAAGCATATTATTAAGTAGCATTATTCTTGTAAGACTGGGGCCTATTGACCCGTTAGATTCGTTGGAAAGATATAGGATTTCCCACAAAAAACCAGAAAGTACACTGCCATATGTATGTAAAACAAATAATAGCACGTAAAATGTATTTTATCTTCAGTATATATAAATCATATGAATAATATTTATATATATATACATATATATATATCTCTAAGTAAGTACATAATTTGTAAAAATACGTGAAAAACCTTTAAAAAGACTGTACAACAAAATAAAGATTTTATAGTTTTATATATCGAAACTATTCTTAAACCAAAGCTAAGTTAAATTAAGCTAAAAAAATTTATACTGTTATAGATCAAGAAATAGACAATATAATATTGTTATGCAACGTCGTATCGATTCAAATTGGCCGCCATTTAATATTCGTGACATGGCATCTTGAACATTGCAACTTTTTATTGTATAATAATTAGTAACGAATTTGTGGTAGTCATGTGTTAATTTTGTAGACAAAAATATATTGAATCCGCTCGAAATGAGATTGTTTTTAAATCTCGGAATAACTTCAACGAAACGATTACTATATATTAATACCAATCTATTAAATCATTCTTCATGTTGGAGTAAAATGGCGACCGAAGTGGAAAAAGCTCAAGTTGCAGCTCCTACTGGAGATACTATTTTCGGAAAGATACTTCGTAAAGAAATACCTTGTAATTTCATTTATGAAGATGATAAGGTAAAATGAATCGAATTATTATAAAAAAAATTATTTTTAAATTTCAAATATTACATTTCTGTTTTATTAAAAAATGTAAGTAAGGTTATATATTTTTGTTGTGTTTCTATGACAATTTTCTTTTTCTTTTATTTTATTAAATGATTTATCATAAAATTTTCAAATCTCAATTTGTGGTTTTTGAATATCTTGTAACTATATTCCTTTGAATAATAATTCAATATTTAAAAATTTTTTTTGTAATTGCTATTATAAATACGTAAAATTTTAAATATTCTTGTATAATTTATATCCTTGTTAATTTTCTAAGAAAAAAATTTTTAATATTTTAGTGTGTTGCATTTCAAGATATAAATGCTCAAGCACCAGTGCATTTTCTAGTAATTCCACGAAAACCAATTTCACAACTTTCAAAAGCCGAAGATGCGGACGAAGCTTTGTTAGGCCATTTAATGCTTATTGCCCGTAAAGTGGCAAAACAACAAGGCCTCGATAATGGTTTTCGTTTGGTTATCAACGATGGTAAACATGGTGCACAATCGGTATATCATTTGCATATACATGTTCTTGGTGGTCGCCAAATGCACTGGCCCCCAGGTTAAAAAATTCCATTTCATTTAATACAATTCTATACGCAGTTATAAATTTTAAGAAATATCTTTTGTCAATAATAAAGTATTGAGGAAAATATTGCTTATAATTAATTAGTTTTATTATAAAATTATAAATGTTATAATATTCGAAAAATATTATTTTGAAACCAAATTAAAAATCTATTCTTTTTTATATACTTCATATACGAATTGTATATTATTTTCTTCTTGAATTCCTTGTGGTATGTTTGGATCTCTAAAAGAAAAAAAAAAGAAAAAAGAAAAAAGAAAAATAAATTTATAATGAAATTACTTTATAAAGAACTTACTCTGTTAAAACAAAATTATTAGGGATAGTTGGGAAAAATGTATCGCACTCAAAATATTTTTTTATTCTTGTCAAATATAATCGATAAAAATTTGGAGATTCCATTGCTGCCTGCGATTAAATTTAAATTATAATTAAAAAATTCTCATTAATTTTGTATAAACAACGCACCTTGTATACGGAACTTCCTCCCGTTACCCATATATTTTCAATTCGATCTTTGATTTTTTCAATAACTTCAAAAGCATGTGGAATACTTTTACATACAATCACATCATTTCCATAATCCCTAAATATTTTTAATAATTCCTTTATTTTTATTATTTTCCTTATTTTATTAGTAAAATAATAATAATAAAATAAAAATAAATCTTACAAAGATTGTGACGTTAAAACAATGTTTATTCGATTTTTCAAAGGCCTATATTCTTTTGGAATAGATTCCCATGTTCTACGTCCCATCAATACAACATTTTTTTTGTTTGCATTTTTCGTATTCGTAGTCATAGATGTAAAAAATGCCAATTCACTTCTATAATCATTTAATAACAAATAGATTAAAATGCATTATTCATATTTAATTTATGATATATTCATTATTTTTTTACTTAAGTTTCCATGGTAACGTTCCTTTTACACCAATACCCATTCCTTCACATGTTGCTGCAATTAAATTTAAATGTAAATTCATTTTTTAACACTAACACTTAACACTATTCAGTGAATGAATTGGTATGAATCACTAATTTTTCTTAACTTTTCGTGACTGTTAAAAATTATTAATTCTCTGATACACGCTGCTTGGTTTATCAATCAATTATATTTAGTCAGTATGTTATCTTAATTGTTTAATCATTACATAATCATTATAATAACTCTACATAAATTCAAATTGATGAAACAATATTAAGATATCTACTATATATATATATATATATATATACATACATATATATATATAATAAAAAATATATATTATATATATATATATGGAATTCTTTTACGAATCTCTATAGTGAAGTAAGCTGCAGACTCTCCAATCCAGCACACCTTAAAATATTGATATAATATAGACAGTACAATCTTCAAAATAAAAGTGTATTCAAAAATAGGAAAAAATTTATATAGTATATAAATATATCTATTTATTTATAATGTAGCATATTTAATTCATTTATTTTAATATTAAAACAATATAATTAAATATTGCTAAAAAATTTGCTGGAATTGATTATCAATTAATTAATATTAAATGAAAATAGTAATAAGAAAATTTATCGTTATGTGTCGCCACAGGTATTATAAAACGATTCGATAGATATATAGTTCTTCAATAGATGGCAGCACAGTTTAGTTTTTTAGTATCATGCGACATTTCAGTTTTAGACGTAATAACCAAACTTTGTTCTTGCATATTTAAAATACTAATTACAGTACATTAAATTCTTTCCATTAATTGGATTACTCGTTAAGTTTGATTATATCATAAGGTAAAAAAATTATTATTACTGTTTATTTTGTTAAATATAAATAATTATTACTTTAATTGAACTTTAATATGATTGCTTTACACGTTGTGAACATTGATTTCGAAATCATTTTTATTTCATTCAAGTTTATTTCAAATTTTTATTTTATTATTTATATAATATAAGTTCTTTTTTCAAATATTCTTTATAAATTTCAATATATATCGAATTTTATAAGTAACAAAATATATAGGTTATTGTTTCAAAAAATTTGCAATTTCATAACAAATTAATTTCAAATTTTTATTTGAAATTAATAATAATTACTATATTATAATTATCTTGTAATTATATTAAAATAAGAAAATTTTTTATAATTTCGTTATTTTTTTTAAAAATTCGTTTATTAATTTTTATAAAATTAAGTTTGTACTTTTAGAATGTCTGGTCGTGAAGGAGGTAAGAAAAAGCCTCTTAAGGCACCGAAAAAGGAACAAAAAGTTTTGGATGAAGAAGATCTAGCATTCAAGCAAAAGCAAAAGGAACAACAAAAAGCACTTGCCGAAGCTGCTAAGAAAGCAAGTCAAAGAGGACCTCTTGTGACAGGCGGTATAAAGAAATCTGGCAAAAAATGATTTATTTAAGACTGATGAAAAATGCAATCAATATGCACACCATGTTCTTATCAAGACATGATTTTGATATTATTAATTAGTATATCATCCAATTTTGGATTTCCTACACACTGATAAATGATTAATATCTGTAAATAAAACATTTATGAACTGAATCACAGCAATATATGCATTTCATAGGTATTTGCATTTTTATTGTTGAACAATTTAATATGTTTCATATGTTTGTAATTGTTCTATTTAAGTATTAAGTATGGATAATAATAAAATAATAAAATTCTTATCAAATAACTTGTTTCTAGAGATTGGAAAAAAATTTACAATCCTATAATCGTCAATTTATTATCGTTGTTAAATGGCTAAATTATTTTTCTTATAATTAATGTTTCATACTTCATACTTTTTAATTGCTTAATCCTACATTTGATCTCATTTAACTGTCAAATAATAAACCGTTGCATCAATTAACCTTGAATTAAAATACTCTAAATAAAGATTTTAAATTCATCTTAATAATGTAGTCACGTGTATTAAATTGACGATATCATTGTAAAATTTTATCGACAAATTACGAAATTATAAAAAACATAAATAATAATTAATAAATAATATTTATTAATTTTATTTTTTCGAATATTTATTTCTTTAGATCAAGTACAAACATATGTCCATTGAAAAAACGTGAATTACAGCTGATTGCCATATGATCGGCAGTGTTGGCAACTTTCGCGAAAAAAATTTCTTAATCATACTCTCTCTAAACCTCTTCGTTTCATATTGTATTAGTTTTAAAGTGAAATATATATTTTAGATAAGGTTAATAACGCAGTTTTCGATGTTCCGTTTATTTAGAAAAAATAAATTTTATTTAAGTATTCGTATAAATCTTTTAAGTTCTTTTTAAATAAATAAAGAAATTTGACAAACATTTTATTATTCTGTCTTCTAATCTTTTATTCGTGTATCGTAAATTGTATTACCATATTATTTGAAATGAATCTTGTAATATGAAAAAAAATTAGTAAGATTACATAATGCATTCCTTAAAAAGAATCTATAATGCATACAGTAAATATTTGGACTAAATATTATTTCATTTGGTTTTAGATAAATCTTTGGATCCCATCATATCGGAATAGAATAGTTACTTTATTGAACGCATATTGGTAAGCGTGAGATCTCACGAAGAGCTGTCACTGGCTGGGTCAGTTGGCAACAGACCTTCGAGGTGGTCATAACTGCTTGTGCTGTCTTAATCCTGCATCCGTCAAAACTCTCTTATCGAGTTTGCATGTAAAGAATAGTCGAAAGAGTTCTCGTGTGTGCTGTGACAGAAAAGACATAACAGCGAGGAACGAATTTACGAGTGCGTCGATAGTTCGGGAAAACCATGGAGCTCGTTAGGATCATTTGACCCACGGGAACGACTCCAGGCTCGGTGGATCGTGCTACCTCGCGTGATATTACAAATCGGTGAGTACAAGCCATTCTCTTTCTCTTTCTTTGTGTGACAGTTTGTTTCTGTTCTTTTAACGAAGAACAAAGACGAAAAGTATTCTCTTTCTCATTCTATTATATGTGTCATGTAAATGCTTTGTATCATGAACAATATGATGCATGTATTGCGTGTGCCCACAAAGGGACACCATGATATTCACCTGCATCACTTACCATATTGCAAACTTTATGCTTTTTTTCGACCTCTTCCACCCTCAAAGGGTTGTACCATAACTATTAGTGAGATGATCGAGCGTGATTTCCTGGCTTGACATGTGTGGGTAACACTGTAGTCATATAAACGGCTTATTGTAGTGTATCGTGAGAGGAAAAGAGAAGAGCATACAGTTAATGCGTATATCTAGTCTCTTGCCACGCGTATTTCGTTCGGGTAAGAAGTTTGGATTTTTTCATATTGTAACGTTGCAAACTTTTTGATAGAAGGTCATTAGTTTGTATAATTTATTTTAGCTGATAAACTAGACAACCGGTAGAAATATGTTAGAAGAAATTCACGCAATTGATTAAAAATTACAACATGATAATTTTCTATTCGTGATGTAAATTTGTTATAATGTCTTTGATATTTTAATTTTTTTTTTCGAGTTTATTGTGTTTAATCATTTTGGATATAAAAAAAATTGAATTTATCCATGATAGGTTATTTGATCAATTATCAGATGATTACTAAATTTCATAAATTTTGAAATTCTTCATATCAAATTCGCAAAATTTCTCGATCTTATTTAAATTTAATTTCGTATATAATAAGTCACATTTCTATTAGCAGGTTTAATTTAAATCTTACGAATGCTATTTTAAATGCATGGTAATTATTTTACATCTCAAAATCATTGCTAGGCAATACTTTGACACATCGAAGTATTGCACAATGCTGTTCGTTACGAAAAACCGTTGATCATTCTTTTGAAATTGTTCAAATCGTTCGATCGATTCGTGACTCGTCGCGATGAATCGCGAAGAATCGTGAAATAATCGCTGCGACAAACTTATGACGCATTCGAATGCACACGTGGAAAAGCTCGAGGGTGAGTGGCGTGTCACCGACGGTGCTTTAATGTAACTCGATATAAATCACGAACATATCGAGGTTAACTTTGACCTTCTTAATATAGCGGAACCTCATGCTTCGGAATTCTCATATTCTTTATTAATTTCGACCACGTATTGCATCAGTATTTTGACGTATCGAAACTCACGTGAGTACCAGTGATTTAATAGATTTAACATAAGACATTATACGCGATATTGTTAAATACTGAAAAAATATTGAAAATTACTTTAATCTTATTCTTTTTTTTATCCAGTTTTCTTTATTCATATTGTGTATTGCTATTATTATGGTAGTGCATTGCGTCAGATTTCCAATAATGAAAACCACGTGTACGGTGGGACTATATTAAGGTAATTACGAAATAAGATGCATCTACGTCCAATTATTATATTTCGATCGAAAGGATTTTGTTGTGTTCGATGAGTAATAAGAATATAGAAAATTTTAAGATTTGATCATTCGCGAAAGATAAAGGGATTTACTTAAATATTCGATCGTCAAAGTTGCAATACGTTAACGATGTAGTTACAACACATAAAAGTTCAATATTTTTTTGATAATATTGTTCGAAAGAAAATATAATTTTACTCGATAGAAGAATAATGCAATTAATGCAATTTTTCGTGTCCGGATATGTGTATTTTGTCTCGATTGTCTGCATTCTAAGTGCATCAGTTTCTCATCGTTAGTTTTGGCCTCGTCATCGCGCTTATGTACTCGCTGCGGTAACCTTGTGCAATGCTTTACCGATTCGCACCTACGTGAATCTTCTACAGAATCCTTTTTTTTTTTTTTTTTTGCATTAAAAAGATAACAACGGAATGAGATTTTTTTATTTCGTTGAATGAATTCAACGAGCTTCCGTATCAATTGATACCAATTAGCTGTGTTATTATAAAGATTGCACGTAGGCATCGCTTACGTCAATTATTGATTCGATTTATCCTACGAAAAAATAATTATATCTTAAATTGTTTTCTCTTTTATTTATTCTTTTAATTCTTTTTTCTCATCGTACAAACGTGATTCGTATATACGAGATTATGTTAAATATTTCATAATCGTTTCACTTTGGACGAAGTAAACACAGCTATAAACATTCGAGTTCATGATCGTTTGATGACAACAATCAATTCTTATACGAGTCATTTCTATGCGCATAATATAATACCAAAATTGATACCAAACCAGTGGTCAAAGTTCAATTATATATATTCAAATCTTATGCATACTTCATGTAAGAATTC